ATTGTGTTATGGCCGCACCCCAAAAGGTGGCGTGAGATACGAACACAATGGCGGCAGTCAATATGTACTAATTGAAGGAAATTACGGAAAATAATTACATGGTAGGACGTGTAATGGTAGGTTGCTCCAACCGATCCTAGCTTGAAGTTGGCTTGAAATAGTTAATAGAAAAGTAATATAAGAAAATAAGGAGTATAATGCCACATTGGGTGACTAGTAATAGTAGCACAAATGTAATATCAATTGCTCTGTAAAAAGGTGTGAATCATGACTAATAAAGTTTCTATGTTTGGCAATATATAAAAAAAAAAAAAAAAAAAAAAGCTTATAGTATTATTTGTACCACTTTTAATATCATATTTGATTAAAAATTTTGTAACCTGGCTTATAATCTAAAAATTTCAATTCGAGCTTTGTTCATATGTAATCTGCGTTATACAGTATTTTAATATATTGATTCTTTGATTGATTGGAATAAAATGGTTTATTGTGATTCGCCATCTTTTGCGCCACACTCAAATCGGCATGTCATGGCACTCCCTATTTTGGAACACCATTGGCGGCGCCATAAACCTTGCGCCAACAACCCTACCGGAGATGAGCGGCTGTAGTACGTTTTATAATAATAACTATAATAACTATATCCTGGATTTATAATAAAAATTATTCGATATTAAAAACAATATCATGATTTGGGACTAGTTCTGAAATTGGTTCTAAAAAGTCTGAACCCGTTTCCCGTAGGCCCTAATTTCAGCAGTTCTATTCTGGATTAATCGATTTTTATTATAAATAATATATAAGCCGATCGAACGTTTTGCATCTCTAACCACTACTAAACATTTAACGTTCTGAAGACATAGATCGGTATGCGCTTATTTGTGAGAGTGATAGCCAATAAATAATCTAAAACTTGATAATAACTTTAATGCTCATCGTCATGTCCCTTTTCACCTTAAATGTATAATTAATTTGTTTCAAATAAAAATTAAGTAATGGGCAACGACAAATCAAGAGATTGTTAAAGACAAAAAATACGTATTGTTTTTCAAATACAGTATATACATTTTTTACCTGCAACATTCAGATTATGACGCCGAAAAACTGCGTAATGATCTTTACTAATTTTAGATTTAATTTTAACCATAATCGTTATTGCAATTACGAGAACGATGCAAGAAATGAGCGTCTTGGCAATAAAAATCGAATGATCAAAAAAAGAATATCACAATTTCATTTTAGATATACAGTAATATACTAAATATATTAAATATATTGATTTAGATGCGTGCATACCAATACTTTCAATTGACAAACTTCTCACGATAAAGACATTATATAAAGGGTTGTTTTTTTCCGATGTCAAAATTTTAACATCCTTTATTGCAAGTTCTTTATTTTTTTCTCATAAATCTATTATTTTTTTCTTATAAAATTAAGGATTTAAATTTCATCATGGCTGTTGCACAAGAACACTGGGTGAGTTCTTAGAAGAAATATTCTTGTGATATAGACATTGCAATGTTAACTGTTTCTTGAAATAGGCCGCTAAATGGCACAAATATAATGGACATATTCCTCATGATGCTTTTCGTGTAGGCCATCATGCTATTGGTCGTGGAGACTATGAGGGTGGCAAGCACATTGGTTATATTGATCCACACAGACAACGACTAGTTATTGGTTGGGGTGGACGTCAGGTTGAATTACATGAATTCGACATTTTATGTGGTGATCATTGTCAATTTAAATGGCATTCCTGGTAAATTTTTCTATATATGTTAACTGGTAATTTCAAGCAATAACAATTTTGAGATAACATATTCGAATTTAGTCAGGGAGCTTGCCGACCGCAGTTCTTTATCCCTTTGAAAGCTGGAAACGAAAAAGTAAGGCTATTCCTTATTTAACAATTTAATATATATATATATATTTATTTTCCTATCATTTATTTAAAAGGATGGTAAAGAATTATATATCGCTAGAGCCTGGCATTGTGATGAAGAGAGAATTGGTAAAGCTGGTCAAGTAAGTTGTTTCCTCAGCTATTATTATTATTATTATATATTTTATTTTTCTTTTATTTATTTTATTTCCAATATTTATTTAGCATCTGATTGATGGAATGTCATTTGCATATGACGGTCGAGAAGTTATTTGTGGTAGTTATGAAGTTTTAGGCTTTTTAAATTAAATTAATACTGTGAATTTTCGTCATGAGAGTTATTTTATGTTAAAAAAAAAAGGATCGTGGACTTTGTGATTATAAATTTATAATATTGTAGGAAAAAAAAAATTCTGTTTAAAAAAATAAAGGGAAATCATTCCACTTTCTAACAGCAATCTAGTCGTGTCTATTAAATGACGCGAAAGTTTCTATTACTTTCAATGAAATAATGTGAAATAACCAATTACGATTAAGCAATTTAATGATAACAATATTAAAAGTTCTTATTTGAGCGTCAAATTTTAAAATAAACGGTCATTAAAGCTTTAAAACTTTCCAATATTTATTAGATGATGAATATTACTTATATACTACATACAATAAATACACTATATACATCACGATCTGACCATATAAAATTAATAAAATTAATATCTTGGGTTTCAGAACCCAGCGGGATCGTATTTTGCTAAACAAAAAAAAATTTTTAAATAAAAAAAATTTTGTACCGTATGCCACTACTTACAGTATCCTCCAAAATAATACCAGACCCGGGTATTACTCACCATCACTACCAACCTGTTTCTTAATAAGGCTCGGGGGTATAGCTATAATGATTTACATGATATATCCCAAAATATAGTACCCGGTTCTTCACACAGCACCCATGGGTACTATTCAATTTTAAAATGGAATTCTTGAATAAGATCTCGACGGTATATGTGTCGGGTCTTTTTTTAAAAATTTATGAACCAATTATATGGTCTTATCCCAGAGACGGCCGATGTGTGAATTAAATTTATGAAGAAATAATGTCCTCCTCCATCTCAGAAATCATTTGGTATAATTTCTTTACCCGAACGACAAAATTAACTGGAGCTACAGACAGTGCATTATATCGAACAATGCTTCGTTCTTCGAAGGTATCACTTTTTGCACGACATTTGATCATGTAAGGTCTGCAAGATGCCCGTGAAAAACACGCATCATAACTAACCTCGTTCTCTTCTTCCAATCGGATGAGTTCATTTGCCTCAGTTCCCATAATACCAGCAGCGGTTTCATTAAAGAATGTTAATATTGCGCGGCCAGTAAAATCTGCTATGCTAACTGTCAGTAAGTACCTATGTTCAGGTTCGTGATAAGATTTAGAACACTTCCCACATTGCCATTCATTATTGTTTTCAATAACTTTTTTTTTGCACGTGGGGCAAGCCGGATAAGTAAAGGTACCTTTTTTTATAAACAAAACAGTTGCCATTATTACAAAAAAATCAACATTGTCATTCTGACCAAGCCTTTCATATTTAGTTTGTTCCAATGTCTTGATGTCATCACTATATTGCATCATAAATTTTGATACATTCAGAGAGGTAAATGCTGAATTGGATCCATGTAAATTATACCAATCACGTAATTCTTTCGCTTCTTTAATATTTGGATCAATTATTAAAGTGCTATCAGTGACTAGTGAGATATTCCGTCCTTGAAAATCTCCAACCCGCACATTCTTGCAAGCGATGACTTGATGTAAGAGTGAATTATCGTAATTTTCAGCTTGCTGACCCCACAAAGCTAATGAAACCTGATATTTACTTTGGTCAATAATTATAATACCACGTTTATTGACATTTCTTCTAGATTTAGTTGTTATCTCTTGAATATCGCTAACACTAATAACAAAGCCTACAACATCAATAATGTCATCTTTTTCATATTCAATTAAATCAGAAATTTTAACGAAATTAAAAACCATAAAATTGGAAGAATCTTTATCAAGAACTTCTCTAATAATTGTTTCTCTCGCAATAACAAGCTCATAATCGGCTTTAAGTGATGAATATTTTTTGTTGGCAGGATTAATCTTTGCTTTGGAAATTTCATATAATTTTCCCACTTGTAGTTTATCATAAAATTCATCTACTTGTTGCCCAAAAGCTGTAGCACGAATTTCACCGCTACTGTCAGAAAGAACTACATTGAACAATTTTCCTGTTCCATCAAACTTTTGCCAATATTTGATGCTACTTTTTGTAGCAACAAGTGCCTCAATCTTCCACGTATTATCATATGGACTAAGTAAGTTTATGGGAGAAAACCCTTCATCAATTGTATAACTAGGTACAAATTCACTTGATTGTTGCAAGGATCTAGTATAAGGAGTTGTACGTCTAATGTTTCTAACTTGTGGAGATAAATTTTCAAAGATTGTATATAACCGGCTGTCAGCCATTTCATAGTTAATAACGATTATTATCTTCAGAGTTTCTTGGGTCTCGAAATTTTGTTTAATAAGGGAATTGTAATAGGTTAACCTGAGAAGTTGACCTGGTTTTATATCATGACTTACTTTTTCTACCAACTTAACAGGGATAATTCCCTGCGCAAGCTCAGTGCCATCATTGAAAGCTACTTTAAGCCTTTGCGGACGTAGTGAAGAGTATTCGCTTTGAGTGACCCTTGCAACCTGAAGTACCGGTTTTTCTGGTTTTTTACTACTTTTTGGATTAAATATTGCCCGAATGACACCTACACTAATAAGGTTTGACATAGCGTAAATTTTTTCCAAGTAAAAGAAGAATGCTCGTCATTTACAGAAAAAAAAAACGGATTATCTAAAGTCACAAGTAAATCATCCAATTAAAATTAGACGTGAGGTAGATCGTTCTCTTTCACGTTCAAAAAGTTTTGTCAAAGAGGATTTGGTAGCTTCAATTAGTGAATCAAATTTTCTGTATAAATAGTTGTGTAACAAATAATTTTAGTCTATGCCTCCGTTTATGATATGTAGAATTTAACTAACAAATATAACAAACTCTTGCTGTAGTCACTTCATAATAACAATTTCACATGTGTTCGGAAAATTTATTAAAGTCTTGAAGTGGCGGGATTGTTAATGTTAATTTATCCTAATCGGTTCTAAGGAAGTCGTGAGATACCAATAAAAAGCAATTCCCTTTGATTCGGTATATAACAGTCAGAAACTTGTTAAAATAGGGCTATTCAAAACCGGCCAACAATTGTCGCAGGTCTCCTAATTAGGATCTATTAACAAACAAATTCGTATAATTTATTGTTGCGCCATTAGTCTTATTCTTTTTCTTAACTATTTTCCCACGCTTATGCTTAATTTCCTCAGAATTGCGTACGTACGTAAATTCTGGATAAAAAAAAAAAAAAAAATCAATGAAAGCGAGGGCTATCTGGGTGGGGTGATCTTATTTGTTATTATGAGGAAAGGTTTGTATGTTAATGACAGTCATTTGGACGGTGGGCTAACTGAGTTTACTATCAAAGGCAGTGACCGGCTTTTTTATTTATACGTATCTCTTAAAACTTTATCCCTTCAGGCAAATTTGCCTGCAAGTTGTCATGAATGATCTGTGATTAATCTACTGAACTATAATATTGAATTGTAATCTATATCGCAGCATCAACATATATACACAATTACCAAATACTGTAATACGTACAAGTTTCAAGGGATGAGTTCTCAAGGATTGGCGCATAAATAAGTGTTCCTTCCCAATATTTCGTAGATTCTGATACGTACTTACCATTTTGTCTATCGCTGAATTATTAAATTTACTATTTTTTTTTTGCCATATTTCCTAAATTCCAATACTAAGAATCTCGATCAAGAACCTCTGCTGATGTCATACATCTGATTATTTTCTATTAAAATTTTGTTTAGTAGACAGCGATGCCTGACGAAACTAATTGCATCATCACATCACTAGTTTGACAAATTTTGACGAAATCTCTCACGAACCAATTTAATAAATAATACACAAGGGTTAGTAAAAATGATGCGAAGTTGAAATCTGAAGCTTCGGTCGGCTACTTTTGTCCGGGGCATTGGGCAATTTTTTTGGACAAATCCAAATTAGTTTTGGTCTGTCCAATATTAATGCGATAACTAATTGCATAATTAAAAAAGAAAAGTAACCACTCAATCCTTATTAGCTTACAGTTTAATCAATATCAATAGCTTGGCGTACACATCAGTTTTATGATATATACAGTACACCGATCCTGTCAAAGCCGTTAACCTGCTATAACCTGCTATAACCGATAAAAAATCGATCCACCATGTCCGCTCCATAATTAAAACCCAATTTCTGATAAAAGACCACATTATTGGGCAAAAATTGTTGAATAACAGTAATTTGGCAAATGAGCACGTGCCGCAAAACGGCACGTGTAGCCAATCATTTGTAGAGATGTGCTTCTCGCGCGAAATAATAAATTATTTATATTATCTCGCGCGAGAATCAATTGAATGACCAGCAATTCGCGCGAGATGCACATCTCTAATCATTTGTCAAATTACCGTATTCGGCGATTTGCTCAATAATGGTGTTATCCGGCAATTTATGATCATGATTGGTAGGGAGTTGCTCGCTGAGTTTTAATTTTGAATACTGGAATAAACGTAATTACATAGTAACACATGAAAAAAATAAAAAGAACTTTTTTCATGATCATGAGTTTGCCGGATAGCATATATTAGCTGTTCACATGATAATTTAATGACGCCAGCATTAGTGTTTTTTATGGAATTTTACTATACGAACACACCTGATCCTAACTCTAACTCTACATCCGCTAAACTTTTGTCGCGTTACAAAAGTTATCCGTCATCATATTTCCCGAAGGAGCTATAATTTAAACAACGTTTGTGCCCCCAATTATGAAGAAAAACTTGCCTTAGTTTATAGTACAACAAAAATTAACATATAATTTAAGAATCTTGCCGCGGAAAAGACGAAATTTTTATACTATATGAAATCAATTTCACAAAAATAAAATTATATAGTTTGTTCAATATATTAAGTTTTTCAATCAAACTTAATCTTGAATCTATCCTCAATAGGAACCAGGCGCCTTTGTCGTCTACCCTTCTTTTTCTTAATTATTTGTGTATAATACTCGTGAGCTAAGGAATGGTACTCTGGTGGAAACGGTGATGGAATCTCACTCCTTCCAGGTCTCGAGATAGGATCGCGCAAAAATACAACAGAACACGTATTAAAATTGACTTCCAAATACTCTGGTATAAATAAAAAAGGTTGCATGTAAGGCATGGGCTTGAAAGTAAGGCCATTCGGTGTCATAGGTTCGGTGAGAAGGATTATAGAAGATGGGTCAACAGAGATAACATCTCCATCAGAAGCTAGATGCGATGGAGCACATATCTAAGAAATATATATATATTAACGTCTAATTTTACGGTAACAAATGAAAAAAATGGTCGCATATTCAAGCATCTTACCTTTTTCCCATTAACAGTAACTTTACCATGAACCACCAATTGTCTGGCTGCCCAAATACTATTAGCAAAACAACTTCTAAATATAATAAAATCTAATCTTCTCTCTAAACTTGCATAAGTTAAAACTGCTATATGAGGATGTTTGCTTTCAGTAGTCACTTTATTATCCAAACGGATATTTGTTGTTGGTAAACGTGGTTCAAATATCCTCTTAAACTGTCTCTCGTTCATTTGAGCACCATGATAACCGCGTGTTTCCCTTTTTGCTTGCCATTTTTGTTGAAAGAGTGAACGATTATGCATCTTTGGCAGACGGCTTCCACGGTTATAAATAAAATATAGATTTTTTTTACTCCATGACATTCGAATTAAAGCCCTCTTAAAACTATCTTTCGGTTTACGCATCTCGAAAACATAATGATAATGATAACGATAAACGAGAGATCTTATTGATTGATCGACCAATCAGATCGAGAGATCAGCCATGGTCATTGTGAGATTCTACTCGAACTATCACGTTCTGATTGGACGAAATCGACTATCCTTGATAACATTATATAAATTTGAGCGAAGATATCTCAGTAACTACCTAACAAAAATTTTCATCGATTTTGGATAGGTAGTTATCGAGATATCATCGTCTAAAGTTTAAAAGAATTTAGGCGATTATCAAACCAAAAACTGCGGCTAAGTTCTTCCAAACTTTGAGCGATGATATCTCGATAACTATCTATTCAAAATCAATGGAATATTTTAATTCTATGAATTTATAGAACTAAAATAAAAATTTTCATCAATATTAGGTAGGTAGTTACCAAGATATCTGCGTTTAAAATTCAAAAAAAAATTTTAAATTATCAAAACGGACCGTAACTTTGAGCGATAACTACCCATTCAAAAAAAGATGAAATTTTTTTATTTAATTCTATGAATTTATGGAATTAAAATAAAATTTTTTTTATCGATGTTAAGCGGGTAGTTATTGAGTCGTTTAAAACAAAAAATACTATTAAAGATTGTCAATTTTGATTGGATACTTAAAATTTTGAAAATCACGTTATGGGACATAGTGATTTTCATGGCAAAGACCCATATCTGATATGATATTGCAAACTAGATTTTAAAAAAATGTCAAAACAAATTACTAAGGATAAAAAAAAAGCGATTACACATACTGGTACCACTTTTCGATCGCAAGAGCAAAAACGTAAAACAGTATTTAAAGCAGTATTAAATTCTCCCTATACTGTAAAATGGCAAGTTAATAATATGGATAATATTCTTTCATATTTTTATTTGCAACAAAAAAAAAATCATTTTTAAACATCAATTGAGTAGGCCCGAAGTGACCTTAGAAGATCAACAAATTATATTGGAAGAGCTCTGCAAGTAAGGCGCCTTTTACAAATTTAAATATCTATGATTTTATTTGATATATTAAACCGTGTTGTTTTAGCATTTTATCAGTTGTGGGCGATTATAAGCAGAAAAAGGCTGCATACAGAAGGACTCTCAAATTAAACCGTCGTAAAAGCAGGAATAATTCAAACTCACAAAAAGGTGTGGCAAAAATAAATGACACATTATCTACGATGGATGTTGATAAGACGGAAGACTCTATGTCAATTGATGAAAACGAAATAGAAATATCTAGTAAATCAATTCATTTACCATCTCCTCCATCGATCCTCTCATGCATCGTAATTGGAATTAACGAAGTTACGAAACGTCTTGAACAAACTATTAATCCTGAAATTAAAACAAATTTTAAACGCAAATACACGCAAGGATTTTCAGATACATTGATTTCAACAAATCCCAAAGATCAACTTGCGAACACTTCGCTTACTATGAAACAAAATGAACCTTTAATACCTCTACGAATGATTTTTGTTTGTAAAGCTGACATATCGCCACCTCATTTATGTGCACATCTGTCGATCATGTCTTACATAGCTAGAGATGTATTACTTGTTCCATTACCTTCTGGTGCTGAGGAATTAATTGGGAACAAACTTGGTATAAAGAAACCGTCATGTATTGGTGTAAAGGTAAAATAATTTATATTGTAATTTAATGAATTGACATATACTGAGATTTTTTTCTTTGTTAATAAAGATAAAAACGCCGGAATTTGATAGAATTTATAAACTGGCCAAGGACAAAGTAAGTCCTGTTAACGCACCATGGTTGGCCCCCATCAAGTTAGAGGCTTCAAAAAAACGAAAATGTATCGAGGAAGATGAAATTATGCCATCTGCTTGCACAATTGATGATTTTATGAGCAATGAGTATATGCCAACTCAAATTAAGCAACTTATAACATCCGCTCCAATAAAGTCTAAGATAAAGCAAGAAAAACAAATAAAAGGAAAAACAAAAGCTACCGAAACGAAAAAACTTGAGTAATAGTTATAGTTGATCAATAATTGATATATAGACACGTCAAGTTATCATTACGGAAATGTATTATTATGATTGCATTTATAACTATATATATACTTTTAAATAACTTTGGTTACTTGTATCAAAGTCTTGGAGGTGTATCTCCAATTTTTGTTGGTATATATGTGGTCTGCTTTTCTTGCGAATCGATTATGGATGGTAAGGTAAAGTCTTTGACCTCTTTCAGATAATAGTGCAACAAAGCATTTCTACCGGCCTGTACAAATTCGCAGATCAATATATTTGTTGAAAATAGGGCATAGAAATGTAAAAGAAAAAAAAAATTATATAAACTTACTCTGAATTCGGCCATCTTAATACTACTTCCAAATCCTTCACCTAATTGTTCTGTACCCGAATATACACCAACAACAAATGCAGGTGCATATGATAAACGACCAGTTTCGGACTTTAATCTATTAACTCACGAGATTAAACTGTGATCACGTGGATATATATTTCTAAATAAATTAAGGGCTTCAGCATGCACGCGACTTATCTCCGTTATCGGCACAGCAAATGATCGACACTAAAAATTAAAGCTTCTTTAAACTTTGAACGAAGGTATCTTAACAACCATCTAAACAGATTTAATACTTTTTTTTATATTTTAATTCTACAGGCTTGTATAATTAAAATAAAAAAAAGCTCATTGAATTTGCTTAGAAGGTTACCGAGATATACTCGTTTAAAGTTGGGTAAATGATTAAAACATAAAAAATTTTCAAACCTTTGAAGGCAAATTCAGTAAACCTTTTTTATTTTAATTCTACAATTCAATAGAGCCGAAATAAACAAAAATTCATCGAATTTGCTTAAATAATTGTTTATATATATTCGTTTAAAGTTTGGTAAAGGATTTATTAAATAGAATTTCAACCGAAGATATCTTAACAGCCATTTAAACAAAAGTTTACTGAATTTGCTTTGATAGTTATTGAAATACCTTAATTTAACCAAACTTTAACCGAATATATCTCGGCAACCATCTAAGCAAATTCAATGAGCTTTTTTTTTATTTTAATTATACAAGTCCATAGAATTAAAATAAAAAAATTTATTAAATCTGTTTAGATGGTTGTCAAGATACCTTCGTTCAAAGAAACTTTAATTTTTAGTGTCGATCATTTGCTGTGCCGATAACGGAGAAAAGTCACGTGCATGCAGTGTCGTCCTAAATAATCATACCTAGAAATCGGTGATGGTCTGCTTAATCGCTTCATCAACGCTGATAATTCTCTTTTTGGTTCTTTAATTTCAATGACGTTTTGCATGTTAACATCTCTAGATAATATATGGTCATGAATAAATTGTCGTGCTGATTGTGGACCCTTGACAATAAGATTAAAGAAGCTTATAAGAAAGGTGTACAATCTGAGCCTACATATTCGAACTTGACATAAACGAACAAAACACACATACTTTGTCTATATATAAGGCGCCAACAATAGCCTTAAGGGCATGTGATATTGCAGTGCCTTGTGTAATCCTTTGTGCAGGTTCCCTAGACTTACCAACAGATTTGGTTTTCTTTGGGATTTCTTTACCTTGAAGGAATAACTCTTCATCTGTAAACTATTAAAATTTCGTGTAAGATTAAAAAAAAAACTATGCTATATCGACAAAGCGTGAGATAATTGATTCTTGGTCTTACATTGTTCCACCTAACTACATACTGTAAACCAACTTCTTGTCCTACAACTGTTAAAGTTAAGTGACCACAGTAAGCCGTAACGGCTTGTTGTAAACACGGCAACGGCAGAAGAGGATATTTGAGGTGTAAATATTCGGTAACATACAGGCCGAGCGCATGATTTCCTATTTATTGAAAATAAAGGATTAGATAAAGGAAAAAATAATAGAAAAAATAATGAAGGCGAGGCTTAAGTATTGTAGTTAACTGACCCAGCACCTGCAAGCCTTCGTTTGTTGATAAATCATTTTCATGGAAATTTTTATGAGTGACGGCTTGTAGAAGCAAAGTTTGATTTGTGAAATTAAGATTTAAACGCGCTGCTAGAGAATATAACGTTGTTGGTATCTTTGTGATCAAACTCATCTTTTTTTTTTTTTTTAGTATTTATCAGTTTTAAATAATGATTAGATGCGAAAATCGGCCAATCGAAAAAAATTCATGTGAATTTTGTGCGAATATAGCTCACACGTGTATAATTCGTCCATATTTATCATTACATTCTTTTCCTCTTCCCTCTAATAAATACTTGCGTCGTTATGAAACATAAAAATTATAAAACTTAACTTTTATACAGCTCTTTAAAATGTCGAAAAAAGGAAAGAACGCATTGCGCCGCAGAAACGTACATTATAATAAAGAAGCTGTTGATCTAAAAAAACGAATAAGTCGCATAAACGAGGCAATTTCGAAGAAGGATTTGAATGCACTTCGACGCTTAGCTACTACCGGGCCTGGTCTCGTAAACGATGGCTTGCGTCGATTATGCTGGTTGGCGGATATTAATTCATAATAACTTTCTTTTGTAGAAAGATTTAAATTTTCAAATTTTACGTGTTTTTAGGCCATTACTTTTGCATTATAGAAATCACAGCGTTGAGACAAGCCAAGGTGCGAAATAATTTATATAAAACTCAGTGCTTTTGTAAATATGGTTGGTTAGCTTGTAATTCAAATTAAAATATCGATTCATTTATTCTTTTATCTTAGTAGCTCATAAAGACGAAAATCAAGTCTCGCTTGACGCTAATCGTTCTTTTGTTCACTTTCCTAAAGGTTTGGATGCCTAGTTTTTTTCTATAGAAGTAATTAAATTCTGATTAACGTCAATATCGTTTTAGGGTTGAATGATCAACAAAGAAAACAAAAACAAAGTGTTCTCTATGAAGTAATAGTAGGAATTTTGCGAAGACAACCAAATTTATCTTATTACCAGGTAATATTGCACTAAATGCCATTTTGTAACTTTTATTACCAATACATATATTAATACTGTTTTTGTCATAGGGCTTCCACGATGTGTGTACAACTCTTCTCGAGGTATTGGGAAAAGGGGGGGCTATAAAGGCTGGAGAAAATATTGCAATGTTTCTTTTAAGATATCCTTTTTATTTATAAACATGAACGATTATATATACACAATTAGTAGTACATGTTATATTATTAAATTATTTATATGTCCATGACTCCAAATGAACGGATGCGATGCATGAATCATTAGATCCTATAATGAATCAATTAGATCTCTTGGACACGTTGCTATATCTTGAAGATTCATTGATATCCGATTTTTTCAGGCGGTAAACGTGTAATAATTTTCGTGTAATGTGCACATCAATATGTCATATACTAACCGTTTATATGGAAAAGGTCAAATACGATGCCTTATTTTTGTGTGAGCTGGATTATCACATGGTGTAGCCATGACCTTCATGATTTCTCCAAAGTTACACGTTTATTTGACTTTTTTATTTCGTCAAACCCATTGATGGCCTTATATTTAACAGCTAGAGTAAGTAATAGTTTAAAAAAGCCTCTAAGGAACTTATGTTTTTATGCGATATATATATGTAATTCCGTTCCTGTATCAATCGTTATAAGGTGATTATCAGCCGTCGTAAAGAATTACTCTTACTGGAATGTGATAATGCAATTATCCACGGATTTTTATCAAAATTTCCACAAGAAATTGATGTTGACGATCTGATTTTCCGAACTACTCAACTTTATCAAAAATATCCTCCCCATGAGCTTCAGGAAATTTCTGGTTTATTTCTTGATAAAACGTAGATATTTGTTTATTTTAACGTAGTCCGTTGCGAATGATAGATCATATTTTATTAGTAATATTTTACCTTTTTTCGTTTTATTTTTAGGTCAAGCATAAATTTGTATGATAAACACTGGTTGATCTTAAAGGCTGATGATACTGTTGATTACTCTGAAGCAAACAGAATCCTCCTATTGCCGCCATCAGAAAGAAAACCTGATCACATTGTCAAACCGAAAAACAAAAGATATTTCTCTAATCTTAGCAAAACGCATACCATCGCTCTTCTTTTTGCCGCTTCGGCATCTGTAGTAGCCGTAGTGTTGATAGCATCTCGCTGGTTTATGAGGCGAGTTAAATTACCTATGTTTACGAAAAATTCATCAAATCGCACTGATAGTTCTGAAAACTATTTCGCCTGTTCTACGTTTTCATATACGAACCCATTTTCTTTCAGTAATGTAAATAATCTAACTATTATTTTTTTTTCTTTATTGGTTCTGTGCTGTTCTTTATTTCACTCTTATAGTAATTAAGCTGATGAAAGCTTTGGGCTCTAAATTCTTGAATAGTCGCTCCTTATTATTTCCAACTCATTGCCGAATGGATCAACATTATTTATTCCCTAAATCCTAATAAATCGTATTATCAGTCTCTCAGTATAACATGACGAATTTTCTTAATACTATCAAGTTAGAACTCTGCGGATAAACAGACCAGCTATAAAACTTTTCATATTTTTCTTGAATAATAATTTTAATAATAGAATATACAGTATTCTTCATAGACGTATTAACAGTCAGCCAATAAATTCCGTTGATTCGGAATTTTAGTACTTGCATTATTTCAAATATTAAATACACTTCATATAAATATAAGCATTCGAACAGCAATATGAAATCATAGCGACAACTGATACAACAGAATTCTATCTCTGCAAAAATATTTTTTTATATAAATAAATAATACAGTCGATAATAGCATTTAAAAAATAAAAAAACTACCGTGGTAACGGTAGTTTTTTGGGAAAGGTTTTTCTGCACCACCTTGTTGCAGATAACTTCGTCCAAGTGCAACATTCTTAACTTAGTTGCAGTTCGTAAGATCATAGCGATCAAAAAGCATTTTACTGCATATATGGGGGCGAGTCAGTAGAAACGCACCATGTTAATTTTTTTTGAATATTTAAACAAAAATAACTTAGCAAAAACTTACCCAAATTTTAGTAAAGATTTTTTTAAATAAATTCTACAAGTTTTTTAATTGGTTTAAATTAAATTTAATTAAGTTGCTGTTGAGTCATTCTTGTTCAAAGTTTTAAAAAAATTTACTTAGAAAAAATATGGTGCGTTTCTACTGACTCACCCCCATATAGTCTCGCCCCGAATAAAGCCACTCGGTCCAGGCAATCACCGACGGAGATATCGGTAATATATCTCCCATATTCGAATGTTACCGGTTTTTTTGGGAGCGTAATTTTAAAAGAAGTAGGTTGATAATTCTTTCATCTTTATATTGAGGTTCGCAAAATTGGTATGGCAATTTTACACCAATACCGGTCTACAAGCGCACACGTGAAAAGGCACTTGTAATCGTATCGGAAATTTTCGTCGATATTTTCAATAGTAAGCCTCAGAAAAAGAACTCACAATGTTACTTTTGTGACTAACACGTTTCTTTTTATTATCGACTTTCATAATAATAAAAGAGTGGAACGCAGAAAGACAATATACAAGAAAAAACAGTTATAGAAGCGATACGTTTCTGCTGCAAGTCTGTTCATGTCGAAAGCTTCATCAAAAGTTTGTGTAGTCATTTTGGAAAAAAATTTAGTTGTAAAGAAATCAAGCGCGTACGTACGTATGGTATCTGGTATATATCATGGTACGTTGCCAGGTCTCGGATGTTAAAAGTCCGGTCCGGTCCAGTCCTGGTTAAGTCCTTAAAAAGTCTGGTCCTGAACTAGTTAGGAACTAGT